GGCCAGGAGCCCCTAGTAGCTGCTTGCTCCTAGTAGTAGGCCAGGAGACCCTAGTAGCTCCTAGTAGTAAGGCCAGGAGCCCCTAGTAGCGTCCTTGCTCCCAGTAGTAAGGCCAGGAGCCCCTAGTAACAGTAGCGTCCTTGCTCCTAGTAGTAAGGCCAGCTAGTAGCTTCTTGCTCCTAGTAGTAAGGCCAGGAGCCCCTAGTAGCTCCTTGCTCCTAGTAGCGATGCCAGGAGCGCCTAGTAGCTTCTTGCTTCCTGAAGACTTGAAACATCTCCGGTTCATCGGCCAGGACCTTCACAACGTCCTTTTTGCGCTTATGCTGGAAGCAGGCTGGAGTTCCATGGAAAGCCACAGTCTCTGCCAGGTTCCCAGTTCTGGAACGTTTCTTTGGTTCGCTCGAATTCGCATGACCGCCAGTTCGGTGTGTTGGAGACCTAACGGCACGGTCCGTTGCGAAGGATTGGTTTACCCTTCTAGTCTGATACGAGGAGTTCGGTGAGTGACGATCGTATCACTTTGAGGCTCAAAAGGCAGCGTACATCATATCGTCAACCAGCAAGTCAAACTAAGTATGACCCTGGCCCTGGAACCTCAAGAATTGGTGTACAGCGGTACATACAATCGAGATCATTGGAGTCCACCGCCTATCTCTCCATCTTCCACCCAGCTGTTGGAAGCATGTGCGACGTCCAATGGACCTGGAGCCGGTTCACCGACTCGCGTCCCAGGTCCTGATCTCTCTGATGCACAATGCTTACTTTCTTTTGCCACTTGGAGATGGGCTCATGGCGGAACACAGGGCCCATCGACACGAAGATACGTGCCCGGCTCACTACTGTAAGGGCAATCAAAACAAAACTGCCTTCATGGTTTCTGGTATTTCTATGGTATGCCGTTCTGTTTGAACAGCCAGAGTTGGAGTTGTGTGTGTGTGAGAGGTTGTATGTTTGGTGTTGTTTTCTACCGCAAGCAAGAGTCTTCCCAACTCAGAATAACTCAGACAATTGCATGTCAGGTTTTGCACAGAAAGGATTCGTGAACTGGGAAAATGCTGGTTGTGTACACTCAACTGGACAAACATCAGCTCATTCCTTCTACCAGCAGTGTCCAAGACCTCTCTACATCGGGTTGGGCATATGTGGGGAGAATCAGCACCCAAAACCCGTACTCTGTTCCGGACAGGGACACGGATTTTATTCTGGCTGCGCTAAAAGGCTTTAACAAATCAAGGATGCTACGCACGGTGGAGGCCATCGCTATTAGGTTGGAGACCATTCCTACCAGGAACAAGAAGCTACTACTTGCAATCATCGGTTTTATTGGGACCAGAGACCTGAACAAACATGATTGAACACGAATGCACGAAAATACACAACAACAGCCACGTTGATCCTCATTGAGTGCCCATTGATTGTTGAGGACCATATACTTGAAGGTGTACATCATCAACGTGCTGCTTGCGAAAGCAGCGGAGGCCTCCAAGAGCATCAGGATTCCGATCGAATTCGTCATCATACGTAGATCCTTCATAGTGATTGGGGGCGCAAGCGCGCCTTTGCTCTTCAATCCTGGGATATATAAAGGTTGCAGCATGGGACAAGGGTATAGAGATTTTTGGAGGCCCTACGGTATGCATCTGCATGCCAATTTGGACTCCTGTACCTCAGGCAGGCCGACAAGAACGAGAAGCTTTTCATCCCCATCCCGACAGTCCACCGGAGTATGAGACGTTGCGGCAATTGAGGCTTGGATGTCTGGCGAGCAAATCGTTTTTGGAGCTTTGGAATGCTATTTCCAAAAAGCGTTTGCGAAAGTCTTCGCATAAATCAAGCAACCTGCAGGCAATTCTAGAATCAAGAGGGCCTTCCATGGCTTTCCAAACATGCCTATATAATCCTATGTACAAATATGTCAATATCATATATCGTCTGAATCACAGCGATTCTTTTCTGAAAATGCGGTTTTCCATCGGCCGGTCGTCACCAGGTCCGAAGAAGCCGAGTCTGGTGGCTTGTTGGGGAATGACTTGCTGGTGCCAGGAGCCAAAAGTGCCAACACCTTCAGTGACGAAGCAAGTGGGTTCAGAGACAAAGCAATGCTTTTGCAAGCTTTTGCATCAGAGTACCACGTAAAAATATAGAACTGAACAATTTTTCTATTCAGTTATGTCAGCTCCTTGATATCCATTTCCCTAGTGCCACGTTTGGGTCTGAACCTTGAAGCCGTTTGAATGTCAGGACACTTCCAAGAAACCGCTGCGATCATTGGAGCGCGCCTTCGACCGCCTGTTTCATACACTGTTGGCCTTGGCGCAAGAAACCGAGATGCTGTGACGAGCTTGCTCCACTTATTTCGTTGAGTTTTCTGTATATGGATCATTATAGATCTTCTTGATCCGGTGAAGACTTAATACAACTATATACTTATTGTTTAATCTTCTTTTTGGTCATTGGCCAATGGGTGACGTCCAAATATGGAAGCCAGGAGTCGGCAGGAGTTTTGCCATTAACTGGAAGATTAATGAAGCTGCAAGTCGGGAGCGCAATCCACAGGAGGCAAACCCTGCTTGTGAGTGTTTGCTGCTATGTATTTGTAATAATTATGTATAATTAAGATGTCATGAGATGTTATAGGTTGTGTGTAAAAATATATATGTATATATATATATAAAGTCATATATATATATATACATAATAGTAAAAACAGTAAAGACAATTGACAATCAGAATATAGTAGAAACATGTAGAAACACATTCATTGACAAATGCAGTGGTATGGTCCGTACACCGTACATGATAGTCGCTGGACCCGATCGCTGGTGACCAGTGATCGCGAGGGTTGTGCGGCTCCATCCAAGGTGTTATGTTGTGCCCTTTGCAGTGCTTCACGTTCTAGATCTGGTCCGGGCCACTTGACTGGGAAAGTCTGCGAAGGGGGGTCCTTTGCAGTCCTGCCAGTATAGCAGGCATTCAATTAGGATCTTTGCTGTGGTGAATTGAGCACCCTCTCTTTGATCTCTTCGAAGATCTTGGACCTTCCACCAAGACTGCACAGCTTAGCTTTGATCTCTTCCGCGGTGTGGCCCTTCCCACGAGGCGAAGCTGGGCCTTTCGGGCTCTTTGAAGACGATGTTGATGTCAGCGCTCTTCCGCCGCTTCATGTCCTACAAGTCGGACGTTCGGCAGAACGTGTCCAGCCCTCGGTGAGCGTGTTTGAAGAGGTGGGCCGGCCTATGCGCCTGCACCTTCGTCATCGTGAGCCAAAGATGGATCAAAATGATCAAGGGATCCAAAGGTGAATCCCTCAAATAATCTCAACTAGTCTTGAAAAACTGTTTCTATATCATCTTTGTGGGACAAACAAACAAACTGATTGCTTGACAAAGCCGACAGCCTGAGGTCGGACGCTGAAATCTCCATGATGTGCGTGAGAGATATCCCAGAACTGATCTCCCAGGGAGTCATGTGCCTTGCCAAAAAGGATTAATGTTTCTTGTTTTGTGCTAGGGAGTTTGGCCTTACTACTAGGAGCAATGTTCGCTACTAGGAAGAAGCTTAGGAGTGGCTTCAAGCTCATCGAGATCCTGTGCTACTGGGGCGCAAGGGGCGAGAAGAGTGGGCTCGTCTCAAGATTCTGGAGGACAGTGGTTGTATAGTATTGAACAAGCTCTTGTTCTCACGTCCCCTTTATTTAAGAGACGATGTGCTACTTGTGTTCTTGTGCAACTCATGCGTGTATAGGGATTTGGAATTGATACAGACAATGAATGAATGCGATTGTAAGCTGGCTTTGCAGTAGAGGCATTTGCAGATGATGAACAGTCTTTGACTCCTTTGCCGGCACTGACTCGAATGTGCAACTACCAACTTGTTGTGCATTTCCCTTCGCCTGTCGTATTTTTTGAACCTGTAACTCCGTGATTCGATCAGAATGACAAGCGATGATGTTGGGCTTTGCAAAGAAGAGCCTCCCACCCACCCTCCCACCCACCCACCCCCACACCCACACCCACACCCACACCCACACCCACACACGCACCCACACTTATAGAAATGCGTACTGACTCGACCTAAGAAACCAGATTCCTGAACATCCAGGTAAGGAGGCCTGAGCGCCTTTAGTTAGAGGCAAAAATTCCAAATCCACGATACGACGAACAGGTCGAAGTGACGGCGGCCGCTCTTGTCTGCAGAGTGCACTAGCCCTTTATGGAAGATGAGGGTGACAGCTTTGTCAATAGTTTCAAGCAGGTACAGGAGGTTGATCAGACCTGGCTTCCCAGATGCAAGGTAGCTTTATTAGGCGCAGTCCCTTGCATCTGCTGCGCCCCCTGCTGAAGAAGGAAACATTCCAAAAGGAACCTTGTGACCCCAAAGGTTACCCACACACACACACGCCTTTTGGAGGGGAGGCGAGAAGCACTAAGGTCAGGGCAAATGTGTGAGTGCGTGCGCAGTAAGACAAAAGAATGAAGACATGAAGAGGAGACAAGACGGGAGTGTGTGTGTTTGCAATGAAAAGGAACCAAGTGCACAGGGACAACCGATGACAACCCACCTCTTGGTAAAGACCTGGGCGACCTAAGACCTGAGTTGAAAGTAAGTTGTGCATGTACATACTAAGGGCCGAGCTATGTGCACGCAAAAGAAGGAAAGAGATGAGATGACAGGACATGAAGCAAGGGAAGACATGAAAGAAAAGAGGAGAAAAAGAAGTGTGTCAAGGGGAAAAGGATGAAAAGGGAACCAAATGGAGGGGACAAAGCATCATTCCAACGACCTAGGAAAACTTGCCTCGTTTGAATGTACATGCTGTATGTGCACCCAAGGTTGCGACGGGTTCCAACGAACCTCAAAATGGCTTTGGTCGCTCTGACCACGTTGAGGCGTTAAGCCAGCTTGGACCGCTGCGGTCACGTACAGGCATAAGCCAGCTTGGAATTCAATAATCCAGCAAGTCTTGGCAAATAACTTTGGCATAAGCCTCCTGCTGTCCGCTTCGGACACCTACGTTCCCAGGCAGGGGGAACAATGGACAAACCCCCGTTCAACGGGTCCACAGGGGCCACTCTGCCGGATCACCCTGGGCTCTCACGAGGAGAGACACACTTATAGAAACGCGTACTGACTCGAATGCCGCTCGCCACACGGCAACCTAAGAAACCAGATTCCTGAACGTCCAGGTAAGGAGGCCTGAGAGCCTTTAGTTAAAGGCCAAAATTCTACATCCACGATACGACGAACAGGTCGAAGTGACGGCGGCCGCTCTTGTCTGCAGAGTGAGCAGATTGCAGTCTCGTGTCTCCTTGAGTCTGCCAGAGTTCACCTTGTCAATCGGATACACTAGCCCCTTATGGAAGATGAAGGTGACAGCTTTGTCAACAGCTTCAAAAGCAGGTACACGAGGTTGATCAGGCCTGGCTTCCCAGATGCAAGGTAGCTTTATTAGGCGCAGTCCCTTGCATCTGCTGCGCCCCCTGCTGAAGAAGGAAACATTCCAAAAGGAACCTTGTGACCCCAAAGGTTACACACACTCTGACATTGGTTTTCAGTTAACTCAATTGCCACGTTGGGAAGGAAGGTGAAGAACGGTAAGGTGAAGAGTCCGCAAAATTTGTAGATGTTTGAACAAACTGGGTTGAAGTCTGCAGAAAACACGAAAACGAAACGCTCACGAAAACGCGCGGCTCAGTTTCAAGAACGCGGTGGGAAGGTTTAGGGGGAGTATCATGAAGAACCATGAAAGCAAACAAGGTCAATTAGACAGCTTGTTCAACCGTTAAAGCAGGTACACATCCATGGCCAGTGGATGCTTCCCTCTCTGATGCCTAGCTTCGTTGGACAGAGTTGCATCAGAGAGCTCTGTCCCCCTGCTTTAAATTAAATTTGACCCTTGGAAACAGGGTTTGACACACACACACACACGGTGCCGCTTCGCGGCGCGCATGTGAAAGACCTGAATAGTCACCTAAAAAGCTTTACCTGCCGTTGTTGCTAGGGGGCCCAGGGGCCCTTTTGGAAATGGTACAGCCATCATTGTCATTCATTGTTACATGCAGATCTCAGGTAACTTGATCCCATTATTACTTATGAAAAACATTTAACAGTAAAACCTTTAACAGTTAAAAGTAAATTGAAAATGTAGAAAAGTCATGACACAAAGGCAAAGTTAGAATTAATTGGTGCTGGCTAGAAATGTAAGACTTCAGTTTCAAATGTAAGACTGGTGCTTTCAAAAGCCCGAAGTTTAAACAGTTTATTCTCAAACATCGTATAACTTATTCTCAAACATCAAAAAGCACGCGCGCCAGGCTTCTTGCCGCAGCTACTGTACTGTATGCTGGACAAGGAAACCCTGCAACGCACAAATCGCTTGGGATTGTTTCATCCAAGCGTCGATCGAAAATGTCATGCTGCAGCCGCTCCTTTTGGGTTGGCAAATTCAAAGCTTTGTGGACGGCTTGCAGAAGGCATCGCTTCATGGTAATTTTTCTGTTCCTCCCACAAACTCCATGCGCTTGTCCTCGAGTCCGAATATTGCTAAAGCTATCATTTCGGAGCCGATGCCCACGCAGTCAGCAAAAATTCGAAGTTTTCCTTTTGGCATGGGCGCAGGTTTCCGCCTGTTCTTGTGGTCCCGAACAAAATCACGCAGGGCAGCTTGTGCTCCTCAACCTCCGTCTGCGGCAATCCGCGAGCCTTCAGTGCAACGCCTCGCGCAAAGCTCATTTTTCTCTTTGGCGCCATAGCCAGGAAGGAGGGGTGAATCTTACAAGAAGACTCGGAAGCAGGCTATGTTGTGTTTGCAAACACTTGCAGTTTCATGTCGTCGTCGTTGATTAATAAGTAACTAACGACACCCAGTCCGAAGTGAAGAGCTTGGGTGTATATGGCTATCTTAACAGAAACTCTGATTGAGCAATCAGAGAAGAATCACAAACTCAAGTTCATTTGATTTACGCAAGGGGCAGATTTACGCAAGGGACCCTGTGGTTTCGTCGTCGTAAGGGGGGTAGCAAATCCCTACTGTCCCTACCCACAGCCAGACCGGCCCGGAGTGGGGTAAGGATAGTAGCAAAACGCCTAAGGATGCTAACTTTTTGATTTGCTACTAGTCTAACGCATTTTGCTACTGTCCCTACGCAAGGCCAGACCGGCCCGGGCTCGGGTAGTGATAGTAGCGATTTGCTACCCCCCTTACGCAATTCCAGACCGGCCCAGGTCCGCGTAAGAATTGACGCGCGCTCCGTCCTTACGCATCGCCAGACCGGCCCGGGTCCGCGTAAGAAGTTGCACGGCTGCGACATAATGAACATGAAGCAAGTGTTAAATTTTTCTCCCCTTGCATCGCTGAACTCTGCGCTTTTGGTCACATCGCTTGTAGATGTGCCAGCCACCAACCCCGAAGTTTCGCTACGAAAAAGGATTTCTCCTTCACTTGGCACTTTTCAGTCAAGTACTGCGCAAAAGTGTCTTTTCCAAACGTGTGCAAAGACTTTGCCATCAACTTCTTTGCTTCAGGATCTCGCTCGGCCAGGAGTGTAATGGATCTCTGTTTTTCCAGGCTGGTCGCCTTCAACTTGCGCCACCCACCTCTTTCCAGAGCCCATGCCAAGACTTTGAGAAACGCAGGATGTTGATTGATTGCGAAAAGCTTCGGAGCCGACCATGGTGGCCACAGTCGGCACTAAGCCGACCATGGCAGCCCAGCGGCCCGGAGCCGCCGGGATAAGTCGGCGCTAAGCCGACCATGGTCGCCCAGCGGCGCGAAGCCACCGGGCAGATTCGGCGGCGAGAAAGCCATCAGCGCAAGCCACCATGGTGCAGAGTAGAAGCGCCGCGTCAGAGTAGCTGCTTGAGACATTTGCTGCTGTTGCAATGCAAATGCTGCTTCTTGAGCCGTTTCACGGTGGCCTCAAGCCTACTTAAACTAATTCGATTCTTATTATTGTAGAAAATTTATTACTTTTAAAATTTTAAACTTAATTTAATGAAACATCTTTTCAAAGTAAATTTAGTCAATTTAGTCACTTATTGAACCTGACTTCTAAGCTTAGCACCAATTCTAAATGTGCCTTTGCGTCTTAACCTGTTATTGCCGGCGATCATGAGATTCGCATGTAACAAAGAGTGACAATGACAAGAGTGACTGACATGCAATGTACCAATTCCAAAAGGGCCCCTGAGCCCCGAAGCAACAACAGCAAGTTTAGAAACAAAAGAAAAGAAAGACAGAAAGAGCAGCGCTAAGAGGGCAAGAAAGAAAGGTAGGTGTAGAAAAGGTGAATACTTAGCCCTTGACTGGGGTAGGGAAACGAGCCTCAAGAGCAACCTAAAAAGCCTGAGAGAAAGCCCAACAAACGACGAAAAGCGCAAGAAGGAAAGCAGGGGGGGCAGGAGGGGCTGTATGTCCATGTGTGTGTACATGTGTGTGTCTGAATACCTAGCACTCTAGAGTTACTGATTACTTAGCAGAGATGAATTAAGTGCAATAGCTAGGGAGCGGGACTTTAGTCTTAGACCGCCCGGGTAGGATAGACTAGAACAGGAACAACACAGGGAAAGGCACCGACGCACAAGTGTGTCGAGTACCATTTCCCTATGTTGCCCTAAATAGGTAGGGAGCAGAACTCGGCTGGGGGGGGGGGTTGGGAAACCTGCCTCATTGCGGGTGGATTACCGTTTTATAGCCCGGCGGCTCTGGATTCGGTGGTTGAGATTGTCCGTTTTTTGGCCCGGCGGCTCAAAAATGCGATAATTCAGTTATGAAAGTGAAGAAACAAAGGGTCAGTTATAAGAATGAAAGATCGATGCTTTCCGGCATGATAGCAGCGCCTCCTTTCGGAGGGTCACACCCAGCACCCAAGTGGGAAGACTGAGCGGCTCACACTCTGACATTGGTTTTCAGTTAACTCAATTGCCACGTTGGGAAGGAAGGTGAAGAACGGTAAGGTGAAGAGTCCGCAAAACTTGTAGATGTTTGAACAAACTGGTTTGAAGTCTGCAGAAAACACGAAAACGAAATGCTCACGAAAACGCGCGGCTCAGTTTCAAGAACGCGGTGGGAAGGTTTAGGGGGAGTATCATGAAGAACCATGAAAGCAAACAAGGTCAATTAGACAGCTTGGTCAACCGTTAAAGCAGGTACACATCCATGGCCAGTGGATGCTTCCCTCTCTGATGCCTAGCTTCGTTGGACAGAGTAGCATCAGAGAGCTCTGTCCCCCTGCTTTGAATTTAATTAGACCCTTGGAAACAGGGTTTGACACACACACACACCCGCACACACACACACACTCTTAGTCACAGGGTTTTCAGTATCATAATCCACGAGCAAAAGGGGATGGAACCGCAAGGCGCAAGGGTCAGCTCACTTGAAATGGTAAACTGGTAAACATCTGTTGAAGGCGGCGGTGGTGCAGCGGCAAAAGTGAGTCATCTCAGCGGCGAAGGGAAAGGTTTGGGGAAGTATCATGAAGAACCACAATGGAATCAAACAAAACAGCGGCAGGGCGGACCAATGGTGTCAGTGTGTTGAAAGTTGAAAGCAGGTACGTCAGTTCCGCGTCCGGAACTGATATCCCCACCATGTATTGCCAGCTTCGTTGATGGAGAAGCAATACAGCTGTCTCCATCCCCTGCTCGGTCATTTGAGAAAACAGGAAGTGGAAAGTAGTAGAACAAATTCTTAGAGACGGAGGGTGACACACTTAGACAATGGGTTTGCAGTTAACTCAGTTCCACGTCGAAAAGGTGAGGGAACAGAATGGCGCAAGATCAGCTCAACTGAATTGTTCAACAATGTTTACGCGTGACTGTGGAAGGCTGCGGTGGCTCAGCTGCAAGTGCGGCAGGAAATTGGTTTAGGGGAAGTATCATGAAAAGACCATGGATCAAAACGAGGAGAGTGGAGTCACAGCATAATCAAAAGTTCCGATTACAGGTACAGGAATGTGCGTCCACATTCCCTTCCGGCTGAATCCCATAGCTTCGTTGGCATGGCTAGGGAAACAGCTGCCATGCCCCCTGCTCTCAATAAACCTCTTTGGGACAGAGTATGACACACACAGCGTGCCGATATCGGCGCTTGAAAGAGATTACGAGCAACCTAAAAAGCCTTAGAAAGAAAGGAAAGGAAAAGACAGAAAGAGAAACGCAAAGGGCAAGAGGGAAAGATAGGTGTAGTTACGAGGCCCACTAGTTACAAAACCTTCTAGTTGCTGACTACCTAGCACTCTAGTTACTGAATACTTAGCCCTTGACTTGAGGGAACGGAAAGAAGTAAGTGCTGGGTCCGATCAACAGAAGGTTTCAACAAGAATTAGTTACTGACTACTTAGCAGTTCTTAATTAGGTGCACTAGTTAGCGAGCGGGACATTAGTCTTAAACCGCCCGGGCAGATAAGAGTAGGACAGGAGAAACAGAAGGAAAGGTACCGACACACAAGTGTGTCGAGTACCATTTCCTTCTGTTACCCTAGATAGCGGGCGGGGTAGAAATAGTCACAGCGCAATCAAAAGTTCCGATTGCAGGTACAGGAATGTGCGTCCACATTCCCTTCCGGCTGAATCCCATAGCTTCGTTGGCATGGCTAGGGAAACAGCCCCCTGCTCTTAATAAAAGTCTTTGGGACAGATTTTGACACACACACACACGCAGAGGAAGACTCATTTGTTCTGCAACTTCGGCACTTTCGAACTCTAGGTGATGAGGTATCTGACTAGTCGACGTTGAAAAACCACATTGGAGAGAGACCCCAAGGCCAGATACTGACGACCATGGTATTCCTCTTCATGGAGATGCTTGGCATACGAGTTCGGCCCAAGGTTCCAAGCTGGTGCCAGTTTTCCACAGTGCTTTACTGTACCTTTAAGTCCAATTCTTCCAGTCCAGGCCAGCCAGCTTGCCTTGAAGACTCATTTTGGGACTGCTGACAGCATGGGGTTAGAATTGTGCATTTGCTTTCATTTGTGCAAAGTAGTGACAAATGCTTCACCCAATCACCCCAATGCAGTGGAGGAGCAAAGCCACATTGGTGTTTGCAATGATCAAGGAGTGACCTTTTAAAGCTTTTAACCATTACTACCTTGGATGAGGGAGAAGAAGGCACGGATGTATCCTGGTTTCATTTCAGCGAGTGATCAGTCCAAGTTGAGGGCTTCTGGCCCACAACTGCATTTCAGGTGCTGTCTATCTATATAAATCATTGTAAACCTGTACACCACCGAACACGAGCACAACACCTGCAGACGGTCATGCCACGGACTGAGGGATACACTGGCCATCGTGCCTTTCGCCGTCTATCCACTTCTTGCGGGTCTTTGGATGGGAATTCGAAGACCTATCCTGAAAGAGGTGCAGGACACTCCCTCTCTTTGTCTCTTGCGTCGCGCGCTCTCGCTCTGCCGCGAGGTACCTAGTACCTGAGGTAATGGTTGCTGACCACTAGGGAACATACATTGGATGTGATGTTCGCATGGCGGCTAATTGCTATAAGGAATCATCTGTCAACTAGAGCAAGAACTCGATGAGCTTGTCATTGGATTCTAAGGACGTAAGCATCACAGCGTGTGACCAGGCCTTCGAAGTTGCAGTTTTCCATGCCAATTGACCAGTCTTCCTTGTGCAGGACAACAAACTGAAAGCAGGTAATGATTTGGTGAAAGGCGACACGGCAGCCGAGTCTCTGTTTTTTTCTGAGCTGCCGGAGTCTATTTAGGGCCAGTATCAGCGGCCGCAGAGCACCCTTACATAAGTTGACCCTCACGCAGCAACATGGTATTGCCCTTATGCACAATATTTATCAATACTTGCACATTCAGAGATGCAACCTCAGTCTGACCAATACTTGACGCTTGTCATGGACAGTTGGTGTTGGCCCCCAAATCGCTGCAGCCTGGGGTTGGTCATCTCCACGGGATGTGGCCAATGTGGCCCGGTGGGCTTCAAACACTTCAGCTGTCTAGTGAGGCATCCAGCAAGCTTGCATGAACTTCAACCTGATCTTGGCCGCTCGAAGTTTGATCCGGGAAAGCCCTCTTTGAAACCAATCTTGCAGCAAACAAACCAGTTTTTTTTTGCTATTGTGGCAAAGAGGTGGAGATTCAGTGCATAGGCGAAATTAGCTCAGCCAATTGGTGCTAGTCGTTGGGCAAAAATCGGCGCTTGCGGCATGTGTAAGGATGTTCTGCAAGTTGTCATGAAGCTGCAGATGATCTTCCGAACATGTATGTATCGTAAACCATTTAAAAGCCTCCGACAATTGCTGAGGCATAGTATGCTTGTCTGAAAGCCATGCATGTCTCAGTATATGTATATGATATAGACATCTATATGGTGAAACTGCGACAAGTTTATCTTATCAAAACTGTGGGCAAAAAGATAGAACAGTTCCGGGACATGATCGCTGGTTGAAGCCTAGAGCACAAGAGGACAAACAAGTCAAAGAGGACCAGCTATGTCCTAGGCCCAAGCAAGTTTTGCCAACAAGTTATTACGGAAAGACGCAGAGTTTTTTCCGGGGGACGAAGACAAAGACGAGACGAACAGGAAGAAGAGGACGAGAGAAGGACGAAGAGGTGGACGAAGAGGACGAAGAGCTATGTTGGGGGGGTGGACTGTTTAGACGAAGCAACACCCCGTCCAAGAGGTCCAAGATGAATATTCGACAGCTACAGCCCACATCATAACAAGGCAAACACAGCATCACCCATTAGAGACGCCAGCAAAGCCGGTGGATTTGGAGTAATTATGCTTTCTACCCTCAATTCAGAGTTCCCCCCAAGACGAGGGAATTCTTCCCCATAACAAGGGCAACTTACTTTGATGGCAGGAATGTTCTACAACCGCACCAGCCAAGGACTACCGGAAACGTTCCAAAGCTGTTGATCGATTCTCGACGGTTGCGATGAGCTATCGGAAGGCCATGTCTGCCAAGAGCTTAGAACTGGGTCGCCAGTCACGGCTTTCGTATCTCAAATCAAACTATCTGTACAGTATACAAACACAGTTTTTAGATGTTTTGAGTAGAATGCATTAAATGCATGTTGCTCGACTTCGGCTTTGTGGTCGTGGCTGCCATGTTGTCCAAGGAGGATGTTTCAAGTTTAAAGCATGTTCGAAAGGGACATCTCTTTGGGAGAAGAGTAACGGCGCGAGGGCAACCCAAGAGAAGCTGGGTCCCGCCGTGTGGGTTTGGATTTGACCCCTTTGGGTAGTCCTCATCCATGACCTGGCCACGATCCAACAAGACGAGCACAGCCTCGCCGGTCTTACTACGTAGCAACACTAGCAGCAGACTACCGGCATGAACAAATTTCAGATGCAGCATGAGATGAATTGGCGGCCTTTTGACCTGAAATTGTATGCATCCTGTGTAGCTCTGTGGACAGCTCTCCTCCAAGAACACTTCCCACGAATTTCAAGCAACAAATTGGAGCTTGATGTCTTTGCAGCACATTGGCATCTATGTATGAATTACAAACAAGCAAACTCATGTTTCGTTTTGTAACTGTATTTGTGCACATCTCCGGTGGAGGCAAGTCACCTAGTCCTACCTAGTTCGTCCTTAGTCGTGAACATGACGAGCCTTCTGCGCGAGATGCCACCCAGTCAAGGTCGGCCATTTGGTAGACATCAACAACGGCCGCTTCTTCCCATGGCTGACGAGCCTTTGCTGAGTGTAGCTAGTTGATGCAGAGTTGAACACTCAAGGGACATTGCTATGATGCCCTCTGACAATTAGATGCTCCCTTTCAATATAGATAGGTAACAGTCACTGTGACTTCATACTGCAGAAGCAAAGTGATTTCAGAGTCACGCTCCCATGTTCTCCCGGTACCCTTTTGACATTTTTTGACAACTTCGGCTCGTGACTGCTGTGTCAATAATCTCAGCAGATTGTGCTCAGGCACTTGCAAGACACACGGAAAAGTTAATAAGGTGAGGCCGTGTAGACATTCAGGGACTCGGTGACTTTAAGGCAAGATGGTCTTCGTCCACTGCGATGCAGGCAATTTATATAAGATACTTAAGATTTATTGGGGAGACTCCGATAATGTTCTGAGCTCAGAGCACATCACTCAACGTTAAGGCCACCCCAATCTCACTTAAGGTGTTTTGAGCTATGATCACCCGTGTTCCAAGATCACGATTAATTAATCCCCAATTCGGCCCCATGCAATTTGTCTTGTGGGCTGCAGGACGCTGTCCATGGCAGCCTATTGTATCATCGGTGTTCAACAGCTCCAAGAAGGCGCGACGGAGGATTGTCTGAACAATGACTGGAAAGCTAGAAGACTGCTATGAGACAGACCAATTACCCGACCGAATACATACTGTATTTATATACAGTATGTAATACATAGATACGTGACTGTCTCTCCCTATCGAGGAATGTTCCTTGCACATGTTCTATAGCTTGCCTTGCAAAAAAGAACATCCAGGGACCACCACCATTGGAACCTTTGTGGCCACCTTCGGCATCTTCCATGAAGTGGGCCACGAGCTGGAAGCAGGCTATGCGCCTTGGCCCTTTTGGAGAACAGCAGTCCGAAGCGGCGTGGGACATGGTCAGGTTTGGTTGGATTGGTGTGCAGCCTGGCGTTGTTTTTTGTTGAGGAACTTTGGAAGGTCCCACAGTATCAGTACAAGAGACTACAAGGATGTCTAAATTGATTCGCAATAAGCTTGTGCAACACTACGATTCAAACAATCTGCCAAGATCCGAGGACATCTAGCTCGAGCTTTCGTCAGGTTGAGGTTGTCGCTTGTGCGAGCACGCAGGTATGTATGGCAGTTTCAAGAAACAGGGCTTGCCACATGTGGTGTTTTCCAACATGGAAAAGCCTGGAAAACAAGCTAGCTTGAAACTTGAAACGCTTGTTTTTTGTCCTTAAGCATGCAAAGGCAGTCCTCTCACTTAGAAAGGATGCCTCCCGTGGGTGTGGGTGCAACTTAAGTGTGCTTTGTGGATTCTTTTGTGCTTAAACCAGGTGTGACCTTGAAACGCACAACAACTCCATGACTAGCCACGACCACCCCTGGGCTTCTGTTTGAAACCAGGTACGCCTCAAACTTGATGCTTTTCTTCTCCCATGTCGCCAAGTCCTGGTTCTGTTTGACAATGCCGCTCTTTGTGTGTGTGTGTGTGTGAGCGCGGGTGTGTGTGTGTGTGTGTTACGATTAGGATTCCCTCTCGATTTCTTTATTGAAACGTATTCACATCAAGATTGCAAGGCGAAACAATGCTCAGGAGATCATGATTGCAATGATGCAAGCCTTCCATAGTGTGAAGAACCTCACGAAGATGCTGAACATGGAGACAGATGCTTGGATGAACAGTCATGCTGAAACGGGCCTTAAGGTACTACTGATTGTTGTTTGTCAGAGATATTAAGGTTACATCATGTCCTAGATATGACATGTCATGACGTAGGTTCGAATTGTCACTTGTTTTCCAGCAATATTCACCTGTATTACAAAGCACAGCGTGCTTCGGTTTGTGGACAGGAATATGGGAATGGATGACGTAATGTTGGTACTGTATGATAGGTTCTAGGTACCTACTACCTACGCAACACATCGCAACACCACACTTGCTTCTCTTTGTGCAATAAAAGCCTCCGATTTGAGTTTACCATCCACATCCATCCGCCTTTGGAACAACATGCCTTTTCTGTTTCGGAATTCGGCGTAGCTTGGACATTTGTATTACTCCTTACGATGCAAATTATAGGTGATAGGTAGTAGACACACACACGCAGATACACACCACACCCATACTGCACATAGGTGTTGCCCCCACTTGGACATGTGTATTTGCGACTAAGCATGTATAATATTAATATATATATATATGATACAAACCATGTCATGTATATATTATACATGTCAAGGATCCGGCATGAGTGCAGTCATGCCGCTGCAGGACCGCCATGATTTAATAGCTCAAGATGGGCAACGGGCATGCCCACTTTTAGCAGTCGGATCCGCTTCACTGTTTTGAGATTAATAGCAGAGCAATGGCAAGCGCCTGCGAGGCGACGGCACCCGGGTGCCTGCGTCTACCCAGGCTCTGGAGTGCACGGAACATTTCTGCATTCCAGTTCCTATCAGAAGCTGCTGGCAAGAAAGGCAGCTTTGACCTCATCGATCCAAAAGAAGCAAGCATCTGACGAACTGTCGGAAGTGCCGGCTGACAAAGGCTGGATCTCTCAAGCCACAGAACTAGCTGCTTCCGGGAGTAGCAAAAGGATGCCCCCCACGTGACGGGCGTGCTCAAATGAGAAACTCGCTGGGCAATGAGGGTTGTCAGCCGGGCGTCGTGTCGCAGGCAAGACAACTCCAGCACGTCAGGAAATTGAAACACGCCCAAGACGTGGGCAGCTCCTTCAAATTGAAACGGCGGACAAAGTGGTGCAAGGGCAGCGTGACATGGTCCGTGGGCCAGAGAATGGCGCTCTGGCGGCAAGCGCGTCGGGAGGACTTTGTCACGCATCCTCCAAAGTTAGGCGCCTCAAGCAGATATTAGAATGCAGCTGCTGCAATGGTGTGACGCCCTAGACCGGAATATAGGGTGCCTTCGTAAATTGAGCGAAGCGCCGTCTGAAACCCTTTGGAAAATGCTTGAGAAAGAGACCTGATTTTTTGGCAACTGGCTTATAGGCTGGGATTCCTTGAGGCTTCGTAGTGTGCTTTGATCAGCGATAAATAGGGCCCGGTTAGATGGTCTCACAGCATTTTCGCAGACGCTTGAAGGACGTGGAGGCTCAGCAAGGTGCAAAATCAGAAGCCAGTCGACAACGTGGCCGGCAACTGCCAAATTCCTTCTGGGAGTTCGTTGTTTGCGTAAACAATAAGTAGCTTCTTATTCAAAAAAGTACCGTCTTGAGATAGGTGGCGGCCTGTTTCGGTGTTGGGCACAGCGCACGCCAATGTTTCTGGGAACCGATTTTTGAGCAGTCGAAAAGTCGAACTTTTGTGAGCTAGCACACACACATCCGTTACCATCAGCCTGCAGCAATGTCCTGGACACACGTACACCAAGCAAATCCAAGCCTTGTCTTGATCGCTTTGAGGCTTCAGGCTTCAGTGCCTTGACCGAGTTGGTGGTGGCGTGATCGATGTGTCCAAGCCATCCATAACGATGCTCAGATTCCCTTGCCAAACAAGGAGAGCAGAACGGCCTGGCCTGCACCTGAGCGGCTTTCCTTTCAGGAGTGTCCACGGCGCCCCACCTTCCTGATGGCACACTCACCGCAGCTCACTCAAAGGCGTGAGTTACACAGGTTTTCTAAAAGAAACCAATGGCTACATCACATGGTGTCAATCTCGCCACAACACAGCCGGAGGAGAGTTGGCTGACTTGATCAACTTCATTCTCCACAATGAAGCCGAAGTAATGATCTGACGAGACCGCCGAACGGCCGCCGAACGGACTGAGGCCATGAAGGCCATGATGCACCGCAGCCGGCGTCGGAAATTTGTTTTTTTTTCATACTTTCTTGAAGAATAAGATGATTATAACTGGGTCAAAGATCCGTCATGAGCGCAGTGTGTCACACCAGGGACCGCAAGATAACTCGTGATGTAAAGGGGCGCGCCTACATCTACCAGCCGGGTCCACTGTGCACAATATGTAAACTTTACACATGATGTACATATTAGGCTAGAGTGGTTGGACCTGGCCAGGCTTAATCTAGGTCTACGGTCTAGCTGAGTTTGCGACTGAGGACGATGTGGATCGGATGGCTTCAGTGGAGCTTCGTTTGAGGGTCGGCATAGAAGAGCGTGGCTTGGAGAGAGGGTGAGTTCGCTGCCCAGTTGGAGGGTCAAGATCGGAGATGTTTTTTGGTAACGACTGGTTTGAGCCACATTCTCTTTATTGACCTTATTGATGTTTGGCTCAAACCATAGGAACTCAACGAACCACTTGAACATGGTTGAGGAGCACTCCTGTGTTGAAATGTCCTTTGTAGTAGTCATGGATGAACAGGGTCGTGGCAACTTCTGTGCAATGGGATAGCACAACTACAGTGCCATTTGGTATCATTCCATTTATTCCAGCCCAGCTAACGTGACACCGCGATGCAAATTCCATGTGTGTTGCCAGGCCTTTCTGACCGACGGTTCAGCTTAATTTTTGTTGTGTGCTCATTTTTTGTAGGACAATTGTTGGTATTTGGTTTTTTGGAGCAACTGGAGTGATCAAATTGATTGCGCAACTCTCATCCAAGGTAGCAAAACACTGAAGCAGCTGACTCACGGTGACTCCGCTGGCTTGGATCGGACTGTGGTTGGAGTATTGGTTCATTTTGTCAAAAAAACAGCAGGGCGCCTGGTGAGACTGACCGGTAGGCCCCAGATCATATTTGTCCACTTTACGTAGCATGAATTTCAGGGTCGAACTTGGGGTTTATGGTCTTGATGGACTTTTCATTTGTGACCTTGGTTCTCGCCAATGACCAAACAACAGAACCAGTGTGTTCAAAGTTGCATGCAATGCGGAGTACAAAAAAACAACAACTAAGCGGTGAAATAAAACACTCAAACCACGTGTGATAGACCCCAACCAGCTGAAAATGGTCCTGGACAGTGGTGTCGGATTTCTTGTAATTCTGTTAATGTTCAGATATGTTTAGTTCTTGTCAAGCTAGTGTAAAGTGTTTCACGGCTAGTACCATAAACAGCCTGCATAGTTTTCTTCGCTGCATACTGTACAACGTTGGAATAATTTCCCGACCCCCGATTTAATTTGTATATGTAGAGTCATCCGGTTTCGGCTGTCCCCTAATGCAAATGGCAGACATTTATTCAGAATTGCAGCTTCTGTAAGACGAACAAACCAGAGACATCAATATGCAGTGCTTTGAGGCTTGGAATTAACAGCATGCTGTATATATATAATACTTTTGTACACAGGGGGCAGCATGGGGACAGCATTGATTAGGCTTTTGCCATGACTCCTATAGCACTCATGTGTTGGCATTGTTCTGCACGGACTGAAAGTGTTCGTTTGAGCATACACATCACGCACCAATGGTATGCACATTCTTTTGCGGTGTTTGGCTTTGTCAGTAATTAAGCATCATGCATGTACATTTGGTAGGTGCTGACATCACTAGCTTGCCTTGCTGCATTCCTCTGTGTGTGTTGTGCTTAAGCGTGATCACACTTAAGGCCACGCGGCCATTCTTTTGTCCTTGTGTAAATCAGACCGACGCAACAGTTGTGCTACTAGTAAGTACTAGTATATGTCTCGCGCACCTGGTTGCACATGAGCCTTCTCTCATAATGTCAATTTTTGATCCCTCAGTATTCTAATAGTTCCTTCCACCATGTAGGAGGCTCCCAACCACGGGCATCGTTTGTTGGGCTCTCAGGTAAGTCAGCAGAGGCGCGGTCTTTCGGGCCAGGAGTGTGTTTGGATGTGCTTGGTGTCTTGGGTGGTTTACACAAGGCTGTTTTTCGTTGAATGAAACGACTGTCTAGCCGGGGGCACACCCTGGGGTGCCGATTGTTGGATGCAGTTGATTCTCCAAAAGAGACTGCCTAGATGTGGTCTGTTGGCCTACGTACATGAATGATCATGATGAGTGACGGAGAACTTTATGAAACCCAGTATGGATTGCTCATCAGCTTTCCTGCAGAGTGAGATGTTTGCACATGCTTGCACTGCACAGAGAGAGAGAGAGAGGGAGAGGCAGACACAAATCATTTTGGATGATGGGTGAATATGGTAAAGTGCGAATGTGGTTTGTGTCAACAAATCATTTTGTTCCAGAGGCATTGGCGTCTTCAAGAGGTTTGAATTGCTCTCGGCTTCAGAGCAAGTATCCGAAGACAACAACAGTCGTATTTAATTATTAGGAGGGCAGAAATAGATGCTGGATGCTGAACACAGAATGTCCAGCTTTGCTAGACAGGTGCCAAAATTTGCCAAGACCCCCAAGGAAGTGGCATCGGCCTACCAGATTGTAGACGACCTCATAGACATTCAGCTGTCAAATCTCACTTATGCATCTGGGCGTGTACATAAGGCCTGTTGACTGGTTGCAGAGACGAAACCACATGACTCGCATACCTTGCTGATTTGGGACCATTGCACCTGAGCAGACAAGTTGACAATAGAGGATGTGACCAGACATGGCTCGAAACTTAGATACTCAAAAAACAGAAGATGAAATGTGCCATCGCCGTAACGACTTTGGCCCGGACTGCATGCTCACTTATTTCTGACAGGACATTTTTTCATCCTCTGAGGTCTTGAATGATGGTGGCAAGGACGTAAAGATCCTGGATGGGACAAGCATGCAACTCAAGCAGGGTCACTTGGATGCATTTGGCCTGCTTGTGCCAATGTGAACCTGCCCAGGCTATCAACATTTGATCGTTTACTTTTTCTTTAATTCCTGGCTCGCAAGCTTGAGACCAGCTGAAGACGGTTTTTAGGCTACACAGCTGCGCGCAGTGAGGGAAGCTGAACCCAAAGGTTTCCTCATACTTTCTTGCGACTCCAGTGACAGAAAAGCAAGTGTTTCCAAGCGCTTCCTCAAACATGCTCCACGTTGCACAGCAGCCAGACGAGGCAAAATCACCTGCATTGCTAGCGTCTTTGCTTCAATTGGAGCCGAGAGTGATGGGGGGCTCCGTCCTCATGGTTCTTTGGGTTTGTAAATCCATTTACAAGTTCCAAGCAATTTTTGTTTTGTGACGCGATGGACTCGAAACCTCCAAGTCACCTGACCACAAACTCAACATAGACCAAGTTTCTTTAACAAATAGAGCTGTCTTTTTTACGGTTGGTTCAAATGAATTTCAAATTATCTCTCTATATATATATATACATACATCCTTTGATGATTGACATTCTCACTTTCAACAGGCCTTCCCATTTTCGGAATCCTATTGACAAAAGACATAATATATATATACACATATACCCTCTTTCGACCATGGAGCTATCGGCTATCTCTAATGTCAGTTGACAGATATGCTGCACGATATGTTGCTATCATAGGATTATATAGGATCATGCTACACACAACAGCGGCACCGCTTCGCTGTTTTCTTCATTCTGCTTTATGGGGGGTCAGGCGCGTTGCGAATTCCTTCGCCACCAAGGTGGTGAGCGCCAGGCAAGTGTCTGTGTGTGTGTGTTGAAAGAAGAATCAGCCGATGAGTTGAGCCGTATGCTACATGGGCAGGTAATTGACCTGTAAGCCACAAGCGTGATGAGTCATGATCACCGAGGTACTGTTCCTTTGGTTTATATAGAGAACTAAGATATCTTAAGCTACACATTTCTGCGTGTGTTTATCATGTTTTCCAGGCAGGGCTGGGCCAAATGATGCTTGATGTTGCTTCATGTTGCTTGAGACATGAGGAAGCCCAATTCATCCTAATTCTGTTTCTGGCAAAGACTCACAGTGGCATGTTCAGATGGCTTTCATGAACAAGGGTGGTGGATGGGTGGATGCACATGTCGAGGTCGGATTTGTACAAGGGAGCATAAACGGACAAGTACATTGTCTTCACACCACTTCAGCCTGAAGCACTTCTCAAAGCCAACGTCACGAGTCACAAGTCATTATTTGACCCGAGTTGGTCAACATTGGCTCAACAAAAAGCTCCACCACCATCACCTATTTGCATCCACTCGTGACCGGCTCGTCTCAGGGAAAGTCAACTGTGCTGCGGATCATCGCTGGAGCGTTGAAGCCCACCGAAGGCACCGGAGGAGAGCGAAGGAATCGCGTGGACACCCACCGATTGGGTCGCGAGGGATCCTTCCTCACCGGGTGATCGCGGAAGAATCGTCCGAGTTTGGCGAAGTCAAACATCGGCCAATCCGTTTTAGCACTGAAGTCAGAAATCCAATTTGTACTCCTTGGTGATGTTTGGGCTTGCCCAAAGCGTTGAAAAGTCCATCACATGGTTTATGGTGGACGAAGGTTCTACTCATTATATATATATATGACTCTTCTACAGTTGTAAGTACATGTAAGTACCTGGTTCTGCTTACCACTGACTTCTTTCGGTGAATCTTGTCGGCCTCGCAACAGGCTATGTCTTCGTCCCTCCACACCTGCAAGTGCTGCAGGCTGGGTTCTGGACCGAATGCCAAATTACACGCGTCGCGTTTGATGGTAGGACAGTGTTTTGATGTCTTTTGTAGCTCATGTTCCATCATCTGATCATATCTTACAGTACTCGTTTCGACCGTGTGAAACCACTATCGTGATTGACAGCCATTCACTTGACAGTGGGTCCCGACGCCGAAGAGACAGACGCCTGAGGTCGAGGACACGCCGAGCTTCCTTCCACATAGCCTCAAGTCGAACCTGATCTTTGGAGTCTCCGATGACGATCTCAGCTTGGCCACATGCTCATGACGGTGGGGGGAACTGGATTTTCGTGAAGCTATGGAGATCCATGCTATTTAACTGTTTGTGGGTGTCACGACGTGGCCTGAAGATCCATCATTGCTCTGCTATCAAATGGGAGCCCTAAAGCCACAAAAATATAATGAGCTGGTCTTGACTCATTACCAGACGATGGGCAGATTACTTGACACCTGACATGATATAATGGGCCATGAATCAGATGGGGGGAATGCACCACCGTAGTATCCGACATCCTTTTGTCAATTTGACGACTAGGTCGGAAAAGACACGTCCAGAACTCAAACAGGTGTTGGAGTCGTTGCAAGACCCATGAATGCAGCTGGGAGACGACGATACATAGAAGCTATGGACTGCCGGCCTCAAATTGACCTGCAAAGCGCCACACCTTAAATCATCCACTATTGCTGCTTCACATGCAACCATGCACTCATTGAGGGTTTCAAGGTGAGGGTTGAGACTCAGTCTACATCCCTTTTGAAGGGGGTCCAACAATGTCTGTTGCCGTTGCCGCCCACAAAGGGATGTGTGTGTGTGTGTGTGTCCACCCCTGGACAAAGGGTTTTCCACCGCTACTCCTTC